CTCATCTCATTCCCTTAAGACCTCAGTGGGACAGGAAGTGGGGTTAGTACTTCAAGTAAATAACCTGGGGAACAGGTGTGACTTGCCCTGGGTCACACAGAACTCACCAGAGAGCTGAAGCTGGTACTCAGAGCTTCCCTTCCTTCTTTCCATGATTTATTGAATACCCGCTACCTGGAGTGAGGTTACTCTACTGAGCATGAAAGGTAGAGTCCTTCCTTTCTGCCCTGGTGTTTCATTTTAAAGGGGTTACAGGCATACACACACAAAAAGATAGACACACACAAAAAATGAATCGTGAATTGCAGTAGGTGCTATGAAATTCATCAACATAGTCCCAGACAGAAGATAAAAGAGATGGGGGATGCTCTAGATAGGGCAGTCAGGGGAGCCTCCTCTTAAGAGATGCCATTTAAGCCAATCAAATGAATCCTGGGGAGGGTGCGGGGAGAGGAATCTTCCAGGACACAGAAACAGCAGGATCTCAGATCCCAAAGCAGCAGTTGGAGTTGAGATTGGTTTTAGAGGTAGAACTAAGCAAGAGTGAGGGAAAGAGAAGGCCCAGGGTGAGTCTCAGGTTCTGGGAGGAGCAGCTGGTTAGATGATGGTGCGATCTCAGAGGTGGGAACCCTGGAAGAGAGAAGGGAAACAGCTGAGAATCTGGAGTTGCGTGTTGACCTCGTTAAGTTGGAGAAGTCTATTGGATATCCAAGGGGAGGTGTCACTGGGCAGTTGTAACTATAAGTCTGGCTCTTTGGGGAGAGGCCCAGGATGGAAATATCAATTTGGGAATTATTAGCTTGTAGTAAGTATATAAAATTGTGGGATCACCCAGGAAGAGAAGAGAAGGGACACAGGACTGATTCCTGGGATGCTCCAACATTTAGAAGTCAAGGTCAAAGAGGAGGAGCCAGAAAAGGAGACTGAGAGAGAACATCCAGTGTAACAGAAGGAAAACCAAGAGAGTGTGGCATCACTGGAACCAAACAAAGTGTGTTTCAGAAAAGGATAAGCGTGGCTGGGCGCGGTGGCTCACCCCTGTAATCCCAGCACTTTGGGAGGCCGAGGCGGGTGGATCACGAGGTCAGGAGATTGAGACCATCCTGGCTAACACGATGAAACTTCGTCTGTACTAAAAATACAAAAAATTAGCCAGGTGTGGTGGCGGGTGCCCATAGTCCGACCTACTTGGGAGGCTGAGGCAGGAGAATGGCATGAACCCAGGAGGCGGAGCTTACAGTGAGCAGAGATCGTGCCACTGCACTCCATCCTGGGCAACAGAGCAAGACTCCATCTCTGGAAAAAAAGAAAAGAAAAGGATAAGTGTTCACCCATGTCAAATGCTGCTAGGAGATCATGTAAAATAAGGACATAGACATGACCACCACATTTTTCAATATGGAGGTAGTTTAAGACCTTGACAACAGGAGTTTTAATGGGCTGGTTTGGGCAGAAGCCCAGGTGGAGGGAGTTGAAGAATAAATGTTGATTTCTAGATAAATGGCAGGTGGAGTGAGACCCCATCTCTAAAAACAAAAACAAAAAGGGCAGGTGGACCACAAGTGAAAAACCAAGATGATCACTAACTCCAAGGAATACAAAAAGTTGTTCACAGATGAAAGATCATCATAATATACTACATGGCTTAGCTCAGAGGGCATAATTGCGATCTAACTTGTAATACTCATCTGTCATGACATCATCATATCTAGAAAATGGTGGATGAAGGGTATACATCAGGGGAGCGGGGAGGAACTGGTGAAGGAACTGACTCCTTTCTTTTGAAAGGATAAATGAATCAGGATCATGAGCTGAGATGTAGGAGATAAAAGGACCGAGAAGATGTAAAGAGTAGGTTGGGAAACGAAACCTGTAAGGGACATGTAGAAGGGTGTGCGGTGTCTGGGGGGTCCATGTGACATATGGAGTGATGTGTTGGAAATGCTGCCAGTCAGCACAGTATAGAGACTTTTCCCAGTCAGTGGCAGTTTCGAGAAGGTGGGTCCAGGGAGAAAGGGGCCTTGGTGTGGGAGGCCAGTCTTAGAATGAAGATCCTGGTAGACAGATCTGGTCAGCACAGAGGTCCTCGCCTGTCCCATGGCTTGGGCCCTTCAGTCAGTCTGGCCTCATCCGTTTTCAGTTGTTGACTCAACCCCCTGCAGTGAAGAAGGGGTAAGGTGCTGGGCCAAGGCACCTTAGCCAGGCCTGCAGTCTCCCTCCTCCTCAGCTAGCCTCACAACCTACGGAGTCTCAACGGGGCAATGGCCTCAGATCAAGCTTGTTTCCAGGCCATGAGTAGAATGAAAATGTCCCTCCTAGACTAATCCAGGAAGCTGCTCTCTCTGGAAATATCTCCTAGCTCTTAACAAGAATAATGGCAGTGGCCAGGCGTGGTGGTTCACACCTGTAATCCCAGCACTTTGGGAGGCTGATTAGGGTGGATCACCTGAGGCCAGGAGTTTGAGACCAGCCTGGCCAACATGGTGAAACCCTATCTCTATTAAAAATACAAAAATTGGCTAGGCGTGGAGATGGGTGCCTGTAATCCCAGCTTCTCAGGAGGCTGAGGCAGGAGAATCACTTGAACCTGGGAGGCAGAGGTTGCAGTGAGCCAAGATCGCATCACTGCACTCCAGCCTGGGCAACAAGAGCAAAACTCCATCTCAAAAAACAAAACAAACAAACAAAAAAAGAATAACGGCATTAATAATGCAATACTGCTGTTCATCGACTTTACAATGCTGCAGGCACTTTTCTTTCTTTCTTTCTTTCTTTTTTGAGATGGAGTCTTGCTCTGTCGCCCAGGCTGGAGTGCAGTGGCATGATCTTGACTCACTGCAAGCTCCGCCTCCTGGGTCCATGCCATTCTCCTGGCTCAGCCTCCCGAGTAGTTGGGACTACAGGCGCCTGCCACTATGCCCGACTAATTTTTTTTTTTTTTTTTTTTTTTTTTGTATTTTTAGTAAAGACGGGGTTTCACGGTGTTAGCCAGGATGGTCTCGATCTCCTGACCTCGTGATCAGCCCGCCTTGGCCTCCCAAAGTGCTAGGATTACAGGCGTGAGCCACCGTGCCCGGCCAGGTGCAGGCACTTTTCTAAAGCTACCTTTTCTTTTGAAACAGGGTCTCACTCTCACCCAAGCTGGAGTGCAGTGGCTCAGGCATGGCTCACTGCAGCCTGGGCTCAAGCGATTCTCCTACCTCAGCCTCCCAAGTAGCTGGGACCACAGGCATGTGCCACCACACCTGGCCAATTTTTAAATTATCTGTAGTGATGACGTCTCTCTATGTTGCCCAGTCTGGTCTCTCGAACTCCTGGGCTCAAGTGATCCTTCTGCCTTTGCCTCTCAAAGTGCTGGGATTACAGGCGTGAGCCACCGTGCCCAGCCTTAAAGCTATTTTTATTTTTTAATTTAAAATGTATTTATAGGCTGGGCGCGGTGGCTCACACCTGTAATCCCAGCACTTTGGGAGGCGAAGGCAGGAGGATCACAAGGTCAGGTTTGAGACCAGCCTGGCCAACATGGCAAAACCCCATCTTTACTAAAAATACAAAAAAAATTAGCCAGGCAAGGTGGTGGGTACCTGTAATCCCAGCTACTTGGGAGGCCAAGGCAAGAGAATTGCTTTAACCCAGGAGTCGGAGGTTGCAGTGAGCTGAGATCATGCCACTGCACTCCAGTCTGGGTGACAGAACGGGACTCCGAAAAAAAAAAAAGGATTTATTTATTTATTTAAAATTAGAGATGGGGCCGAGCACAGTGGCTCATGCCTGTAATCCCAGCACTTTAGGAGACCAAGGCTGGTGGATCACTTGAAGCCAGGAGTTTGAGACCAGACTGGCCAATATGGTGAAACCCCATTTCTACTAAAAATACAAAAATTAACCTGGTGTGGTGACGCATGCCTGTAATCCCAGCTACTTGGGAAGCTAAGACAGAATTGCTTGAACCCAGGAGGTGGAGGTTGCACTGAGCCGAGGTTACACCACTGCACTGCAGCCTGGGTTGACAGAGTGAGACTCTGTCTCAAAAAAAAAAAATAAATTAGAGATGGGGTCTTGCTATGTGTTGCCGAGACTGGTCTTAACCTCCTGTCTGGGTCTCTCAAGTAGCTGGGATTACAGGCATGAGCTGCCATGCCTGGCTCTAAAGCTTTTGTATAATAAATTTATTTTTATTTCAGTCCTCACAATGACCCTAGGAGGTGGGTACCATGATTTTCCTTACTTCACACCAGCAGAAAGTAAGGCACAGACAAGTTCAGTGAGCTGCCCAAGCCATGAAGTTTCAAGCAACAGAGGCCAGACCCTGAGCCGGGCTACCGGGAGCCAGTGTTGCTGCAACAACAACTGCCCAGTGTTGCCTCTCAAAGGGTCCTTGCAGTCCCTGAGGGGTCATTCCTGAAAAGGCCGATGTCATGACCTGAGTACAGGCGGCCCCTCCTGGGATGCTGGCCCCCTCCCTGCCCTTGGTGGAGATGGGGCTGCTGTGTCCTCTGAAGCTTCCTCACAGCATCCGGCTGCACCCTGGAGAGGAGGCCAAGAGCCTGTGGCAACTGCAAGAGCTGGGGGCTGCGCACAGCTTGAGAGGCAGAGGGTGCCCGGCCTGAGCCCCACACCAGCGGGGCACTCTGGTGGCCCAGGGAGAGAGGCCATGTCCTCTTTAGACCTGCCACCTTGGGATTAGGAACAAAAAGTGGCTTTTTCAGGCTGGGTCCGTTTAGCTGTGGCTCCTCCTGCACCATCCCCCAGGCCCAGAACCCCCGGCCCCACTCCCACCCCAGGTCTGAGATGGTACCTGCCCTGATCCCCACATACTAAGGTCCTGGTGGGTGTAGGAATTGGGACAAACAGTTGTTAGGTTCCCTGGGGCTCTCCCCACCTTTGAACCTTACTTGGTGTGGAGTTCTTGTTCCCCATAGTAGCTCCCCCAACTCATGTTTCTACCGGCGGGGGGGTGATGGGTCATGTGCCAAATGTGTCCCCAAGGCCCCCAGTTTCAGGGCCTGAGTCCCCATTCCCTGCTCTATGGGGGTGCGGGGGTGTCATGTCTTGCACTTTCCCCAGCAGTCTGCCACCCCTCTACCCCGTGAGAACAAGTCCTTCTCATTCTGTGTCCCTTGACTCCACAACCAACCGTGGCTGCCTTGTCCACAAGTCAGGGATTCCCGTTTCTGGTGCAGCCAGTACAAAGCCCCTGTCCTCGCCACTCTGGGCTTGTGCTGTTCTTGGTCCCTTATCTTGTTGTCACAGGGCTAACCCTCCCCACACACCTGGCTGTCCCCTGCCCCACAGCTCCTAGGCCAGGGCCTGTCCCTGCCCCTAACACCCAGCCCCTCGGTTCCTCTTACCCTCTTCTTGGACCCTAAGCCCTTTCTGGGTAACCAGAAAGCTCAGAGACGGTCTCCAGGTGACCCCCAGTCTGTTCCTCTCCCCGAATCCAGAGCATTGCAGTCACAGTAGAGGCAATTGCTGTCATTCCGCGGCCCATGACAGCCTGGCGGCCCGCACCCCTCCCCCGTGATCCCCTGCACAGACAGGCCCACGTGTGTCCCCAGATGCCTGAATCACTGCTGACGGCTGGGGACCTGGCCACTGTGGGCTCCTGGGGAGCCACTGGGGAGGGGGCGGCAGCCGCATCTCGCCTCCAAGGGAACACCTGCGGACATAAATAGGCAGCCAGCAGAGGCAGCAGCACAGAGCCACCAAGCAGCGCTGCATACGAGGTCCACCTGTGTGCACCAGGATGCCCGACACCATGCTGCCCGCCTGCTTCCTCGGCCTACTGGCCTTCTCCTCCGCATGCTACTTCCAGAACTGCCCGAGGGGCGGCAAGAGGGCCATGTCCGACCTGGAGCTGAGACAGGTACTTCCCACCGTGGGCCATCTCAGGGCTGCCACAGTGGGCAGTGCTGACACCCTGGGTCAGGGGCTAGGAAAGAGGGAAGTCATGGGTGGTGGTAGCCTTTAGGGGAAGTGTAGGGGAGGAAGAGAGAGGCATGGCGTGGCTGGGCAGAGGAACCAATGGGGTGGGCCAGAGGAAACCACGCTTTGGAGGAGGCTGGGAGAGGCTGAAGGGGCTCCTGGTCACTGTCACCATCCAGACAGGGATTCAGGGAAGTGAGGGATGCTTCCCCAGTGACTGGGCTTGGGGCTGGATCAGGAAGAACGGGGCATCATGGCCTCCCCTGTGCCCATGGCGTTCTTGCATCTGGACTGGCTGGGGCGGCAGAGGCTCCGTCCTACCTGGCACTGGAGGCTTTCCTCATCCAGCCCCAGCCCCCCAGGCAGAAGATGGCCTCTGGTCTGAGCGCACTTGAGTGGGGCATCCTGTGGGGAAGTTCTGCTGGGAACCTGGCCTAATTCTCTAGTGCTGGACGTTTCCTCCATTTCCAGCAGAGCTGAAGGAAATCCAATCACGATGTGCATGCAATTCTGTGCAGGCTCAGTGATGAGCCGTTGAGCAAATTAGACCACACCAAGCTCAGCTAGAAGTCTAATGCGCTATCCATTGCGCCAGAGAACCGACTGTTGAGCAAATTAGAGTGGCAGAGTGGGCAACCCCTGCAGCCTCCCTTCCTCCTGCTAGGCTCCTTTGGGGTCCTGAGACACCTGGGTGTCCGTGCCCTCCTCTAGGGCTCAGGCCCCTGCCACCCACAGGTGACTGAGCAGGGAGGGGGTCAGGGCCCCAGCTGAGGCCGTCAAGCTTGGCGGGAGGCAGGGGCAAGGCAAAACAGGAGACAGGAAATGGGAGGAAGGGCCGGGGTTCTGGATGCGCAGGACCTCTCTGCATGGTGTAGTGGGGAAGCGGGTGGGCCCGGGCTCAAGGTGCAGCAGTGTGAGGAGGAAGGAGGAAGGGTCTGGAGTAGGGGAAGGTGGGGCAGCTACAAGAGTGGCGCCCACCAGCGATGGCCCCGAGGCTCGAGGAAGGGCTCCCCACGCTGTAGTCCACCGGAGACCCGTCCCTAGCTGAGGGGGAGGACGCTGAGGGCTATCACTGAGAAGTCATTCAAGAAACCAAGGTGCTGAGCGGATTTGGACGCCCCGCCCGTGACTGCGGTCGAGACCCAGACGGCGCCCCAGTGCGCCTGCAAGCTGCAGCCCCGGTGTCCCGCCCGCACTCCGAGACCCGGACCCCAGCATCCCCGCCTCGCGGGGTTCCCCTCCAACCCCCCGACTCCCGGCTCCCCCTCCTCCCGCTCACCCCGCCCGTCCGTCCCCGCAGTGCCTCCCCTGCGGCCCCGGGGGCAAAGGCCGCTGCTTCGGGCCCAGCATCTGCTGCGCGGACGAGCTGGGCTGCTTTGTGGGCACAGCCGAGGCGCTGCGCTGTCAGGAGGAGAACTACCTGCCTTCGCCCTGCCAGTCCGGCCAGAAGGCGTGCGGAAGCGGGGGCCGCTGCGCCGCCTTCGGCATCTGCTGCAACGACGGTGCGCGGGGTGGGGGGGCGGTGGGCCTGGGGCTGGGGCGGGCGCCGACCGCTTGGGTGGGGGGACGCGGACCTGCGGCGGGGTGGGGGCGGGGTCAGGCACTGCAGGGAGGGTGTGGGCCCCCGCATCCCGAGCGGCGCCCACCCCAGGGCGCCCGCGCTCACACGTCCTTCCCGCAGAGAGCTGCATGACCGAGCCCGACTGCCGCGAGGGCTTTCACCGCCGCGCCCGCGCCAGCGACCGGAGCAACGCCACGCAGCTGGATGGGCCGGCCGGGGCCTTGCTGCTGCGGCTGGTGCAGCTGGCCGGGGCGCCCGAGCCCTTCGAGCCCGCCCAGCCCGGCGTCTACTGAGCCCCCCGCCCGCCCTATCGGCGCGCTGTCTGCGCCCGCCCCTGCAGCACGGACAATAAACCTCTGAAAACGCACGGCCTCGCGTCTGTCTCAGTCTCTGGCGGGAAGAGGGAAGGGGAGAGAGGTGGGAGCGGGGATCCCCGCCACCACGCTGCCCGGCCAGTCCCCGGACCTGAGGTCGAGGACAGATCCACCCCAGAGGAGCAACAGGTCCCGTAGAGGAAGCGATCTGCGACCCGCAGAGGTGTCGCTAGACCGAGGGACAGGGCGAATTGGGAGGCAGGGGAGGGGGAGACGAGAGGCCGAGAGTGGCCTTGGAGGGGGTCGGTTGGGTATCCTCCAGCAGAGGGAAAGAAGTAAAGGCAAAGAGGGGAAAGGCCTGGAGGACAAGACAGCAAGAGACCCAGAGACAGAGATAGCAGAATGATGGAGAGAGATGCAGAGACATTGACAGTGACGGAGAGAAGAGTGAGAGAGGCAGAGGGGACAGGCCAAGGGGTGACCATTCTGTCCCCATTTTCATCCCAGGAGACAAACCACTCAGGGACCCACCCAGGTCCCGGGATTCCCAGTGCAATGTGTGTTTCACCCAAGGCAGTGCTCGTGTGTGGTGGCGGCGGGAACATCACTCCAGACCCAGCGGAGACAGCGTCGCCTGCTGTCCGTCCAGTGCACCCACCATTAGGGCCCCTCAGCCAGAGTGGGGGACCCCTAACAGATACAGTCCCACACAACCTCAAGCTCACTTGGACAGAAACACAGACAATAAAATAACTGCTAGGAACATGTCCGCGACCCTTGACCACAACCATAGAGACCCTGAGCCCCACATTCAGAGCCAAAGACACACCCAAAGAAACACAGATACAGCCGACAGGAGGATGGGCAGGAGCATGTACACACAGGCTCACGCACGCAGGAGTGCACTCACATTAGCTCCCGGACATGAAGACCTTCTGCCCTTTGACATGAGCTCCTTTGGCAAAAAGACGTTCAGCAGCTCTCGGCATCTTCTTCTACATCTCTTGGGTTCTCTCGCCCCCTTCTTGAATCGGAGGCCTTTCTGGTCCCATCTGCCCTTTCTCTCTTTTGTCTCTCACCCTGCTCTCACCTCCCCGTTCTGCCAGCTCCCAGGCCCCTTCTTGCCTCTCTCCTTGGCCCCTCCACACCCCTCTTCTGTCCCCTCACCCCCTCCGACCCCTCCCATCCTTCTCTCTCTTGGCCTCCTCTGTTCTCTGCATCCTCTCCTTGGGCTTCCTTTCTCCAGGTCTTGGAGCCACAGGAGGCTGCATCTCCTTCGGGATCCTCTGCAAACTCTGAGGCCAGGAGGGAGTGCAGGAGGAGGGAAGTCCACCTGGGCCCTGACCCCAACGCCCAGGCTTACGGCCAAGCCTGGTGACTCAAGCAGCCCAGCCTCAGCAGCCCTGGGCAGAGTCCAGGCACATGCCAAGGTCAGGCTCTCTTCCACACTCCCAGGGCTCCCCTTGGCTCTCACGCCTGACCTGGTTCTGGGTTCCTCTGCCAGGCAGTGCCTGGCATGACTGGGTCTAGCCAGCAGGGGCAGGGACCATGCAGGCTTGGGTCTCTGCCACGACCTCCTGCTCCTGTTTCATGTGGTCCACTCAGAGCCAGCCCCCATCTGGTTGAGACTAGAGCAGGACCAAACCTAATAGGAATTTATTAACTCTTCCAACTGGGAAGTAGGAAGAGGCAGGTGGCTTGGCTGCACTGAATCCAATCCAAAGTGCTAGTGTCTGGACTTGGGGACAGTTTCGGAATGAGGTCCAGGAACTTTCTCTTCCCAAATACATACAGATTCAGAGACTCCTTTCCCTCCCCTTGTCTTCAAAACAATCAGGCTACTACTTCTGGGAAGGGGTGAGGAAGGTCTGCCCACCCACAATTTGCCCGAATGTCCCCATCCCTGAACAGTCTTCCACTCTTTCTCCCTCTTCTTGAGTCCCCTGACCCAGCTACAGAGCCATTTAGCAGGGAGAGGTCTGCCCTTATTTGCTTATTCTCTACAGGGCAAACGGGCTGCGGCAAACCCACAGCGAGGGTCAAAGCAGTGTTCAAGCCTCCACATCTGCTATTTCATAAAAATGGTAACATTGGCAGTGTCTCTTTTTCTTTTTCTTTTTTAAAAATTATTATTATTATTATTATTATTATTATTATTATTATTATTCTTGAGATGAAGTCTCGCTCTGTTGCCCAGGCTGGAGTGCAGTGGTGCAATCTCGGTTCACTGCAAGCTCCGCCTCCCAGGTTCACACCATCCTCCTGCCTCAGCCTCCCAAGTAGCTGGGACTATAGGTGTCCGCCACCACGCCCAGCTAATTTTTTTGTATTTTTAGTAGAGACGGGGTTTCACCATTTTAGCCGGGATGGTCTCGATCTCCTGACCTCGTGATCTGCCTGCCTCAGCCTCCCAAAGTGCTGGGATTACAGGCGTGAGCCACCGTGCCCGGCCGATTTTTATTTTTATTTATTTATTTTTCAGCATCTACATTAAGGACACAGCAGTGTCTCTTGTTAAAGAACTTCTTGGCCAGGTGTGGTGATTCACGCATGTAATTACAAAACTTTGGGAGGCCAAGGCGGGTAGATTGCCTGAGGTCAGGAGTTTGAAACCCCATCTCTACTAAAAATACAAAAATTAGCCAGGCATGGTGGCGTGCACTTATAGTCCCAGCTACTCAGGAGGCTGAGACAGGAGAATTGCTTGAACCCGGGAGGTGGAGGTTGCAGTGAGCTGAGATAGTGCCATATGTATGTGAGTCTATCTCTGGACTCTCTAATCTATTCCACTGAATTTTTTTTTTTTTTTTGACAGAGTATCACTCTGTCGCACAGTCTGGAGTGCAGTGGCGTGATCTCAATAGCCATGTTGTCCAGGCTGGTTTCGAACTCCTGATCTTAAGTGATCTGCCTGCCTCGGCCTCCCAAAGTGCTGGGATTACAGGTGTGAGCCACTGCACCCGGCCTAGATCTGTCCTTTCTATAATATTACACTGTTTTGAATATGATAACTTTATCAGGTTGTGTGGCTTTTCCAACTTTGTTCTTTTTCAAAATTGTTTTGTTAACTTAATGATTTCTACAAAAAAATCCTATTGGGAGTTTAATTAGAATTGTGTTGGATCTTTCAATCAATTTGGGGAGAACTGACATCTTTACTCTGATGAGTCTTCCAAATCAATAAACAAAATATACCTCTCCAGTTATTCAGGTCTTCTATTTCTTCCATCAGCGTTTTATAGTTCACCATATAGAATTTGTATATATTATGTAAGATTTCTATCCAAAAGATTTCATGTTTTTCACACTATTTTAAATAGTGCTGTATTTTAAAATGTAATTTCCAAGTAGTTATTGTTAGTACATAGAATTATGAAGTATTAATGTTAACTTTGTATCCTGTGATCTTGCTAAATGTGCTTATTAGATCTAATAACTTTTTTGAAGATTCTTTGGGATTTTCTACATAGACAGTAATTTCTTTCTTTTTTTTCACTGAGGATTTTTGCAACTTCTTTCCATGCCTCCCCAGTCAGTGTGACAGCCATGCTCTGCTCAGACTTCATCTTGTTGCATCATGGTCAGGACATTGTTCCCAGCAGAATCCTGGGGTAATCATGGGGTTCACCTCCTGAATTTCCTTCTGTCTATCATGCCTGAAATAATTGCTATACATATTTTATCCAGTTTTGCAACTGCTTATGGTAGAGGGGCTAGTCAGTTACCAGTTACTCTGTGGACAGAAGCAAAAGTCCTACCTTAATATTAAAGAGAAATGATTGACCCTTCTGCTTTCATCTTGCTTGGGTCATAGACATAATGCTCAAAGAACAAGTAATAGTTTTGTGACATGAGGACAAAAGGTATATACTAAGACTGACACAGCAGGAAGGCAGAATGGGTTGGGTTGTGAAGGCACTGTGGAATGGTTATACTACCAGTCCTAAAATGCAACTAGCCCGCAAGTTGCATGAACAAACTGTTAATTCACGGTGCTATCTGCTGGGTTTTCTGTTACTTACTATAGGTGGGTACAAAAGTAATGGCAAAAACCTATTAGGTTGCACCAATCTAATAATAAATTCAGTCCTAACTGATATAAAATTATAGCACAGAAAAGAGGTATATAACAATCTAATTTATGACTTAGATTCAAACATCAATATTAGTAAATCAACTGCAGAAGACTAAATAGAAGAATACATCATGAGCAAATAGGATTTCTTAATGAATGGAAAGATGGCTCAACAATGGGAAATTTATTAATATAATTCTCAAAAGAAGATAAACATTGTCATTGCTAGGAGTTCAAAGAGTATCCAGTTACCTAATACTCTGGCTGAGAATGCTAGCTGTTCATCAAAATCTCTTCTTCCTCCATATCATGTATCTATTGCCACAATTAGATATGGATTAACATGATATGGAGTAACATATCATGTATTATGTTACATGGGTAACAAACTGCTCCCAAAATGAGGTGGCTTAAACACACCAATTATTATTTCCCATCACTCCACGGGTTGTCTGAATGGTTCTGGGGAAGCTGGCTGGATTTGGCTATCTTGACTGAACTTAGTCATACATCTGTTAGCAGCTGATAGCTCAGCTGTGGAATGTCTCTGTTCCACGTGGTCTCTCATCCTCCAGTAGAGTAGCTAGCCTGAGCCTGTTCTTGTGATGAGACAGAGGAGCAAAAGAACAAACAAGGTGTACAAGACTTCTTGGGGTCTAGGCTCAGCTTAGATCTGCCATTCATTACTTCTGCCATATTCCATTGGCCACAACGAATTGTTTATGACAAACCGCCATGGAGACATTTCGAAGTAGGTGGATGAGAACTCATTCAAGGAGTAGAGAAATAGACTTCTCTTGATGGGAGAAATTGCAAAGTCATATTATGGATGCAGCTACAGGGAGAGGTGGAGAATTGGGGCAATTTTTTTGCTATCTACCACAACTTCTTTCATCGTAATGAAATTATTGCTGGGAGCGGTGACTCATACGTGTAATCCCAGCACTTTGGGAGGCCGAGGTGGGCGGATCACCTGAGGTCAGGAATTCAAGAACAGCCTGGCCAACATGGTGAAATCCCGTCTCTACTAAAAATACAAACAAATTAGCCAGGCGTGGTGTCACG